GCTCGCACGTGCGCGCGTGCTAAGTAAGTAAAATCTTTTTTAAAAAATAAAAATAAAATAAAATAGTCACAGATGAAAAGCACACCATAGGGAATATAGTCAATAATATTGTAATAATGTATGGTGACAGATGGTGACTACACTTATCATGGTGAACATCGAGTAATACATAGGATTGTTGAATCACTATGTTGTATACCTGAAACTAAAATAACACTATACTTCAAAAATACATATTTAAAAAAATTTAAAAAAACTGCACGTGGATTGTATTGATGATATAGAAGTGCAGATCTCGATGGTTACTTTAGGTTACTACCTAAAGCACTTGAGCCATTCAGAAAAGGGAAAGGCGGCAGGTGGGCAGGGGTGGGGAAGGAGTCGAGAAGCTTAGGCACAGAAAGAAGGCCAGAGCTAGTTAGCTTGGTGCCTATAGGAATGCTGTGAGGAAGGAGGTAGCACGTGTGGTTTTTTGTTTTGTTTTGTTTTAAAGATTTTATTTATTTGACAGAGAGCAAGAGCACAAGCAGGGGGAGCGGCAGGCAGAGCAGGCAAGGGAGAAGCAGGATCCCTGCTCGGATCCTGAGGTGGGGCTCCATCCCAGGACCCTGGGATTATGACCTGAGCCGAAGGCAGACATTTAACCCTCTGAGCCACCCAAGCGCCCCACGTGTGTTTGTTTTTAAAAATTGTTTTGTTGTTGTTTTACAAACAGGGAAAATGAGGCTGGAAAAGGGATGAATTCCTTAAGATCAAGAAAAAAGATCAGGCCTCAGACCTGCCTGTCTGGAGATAAGATTGGACTCCCTTTGGAGAGACATTGTGACTTATCTCCATGGGGCTTTAGAGGTGTCAGGAATTTTGTAGATCCACTAGTCTAATCTGTGTGTGGTGCATCCTCCCCATCCTGGCAACGTACCCATATTTTACAGATGAAAAAGCCAAGGCCCAGGGAAGGGATTTGCCAGACACCACACAGTTGGTGGGAAGCCAGGTCTGACTCCCATTCAATCCAGTGCTCTAATAAGGACTTGAATGAATTGTGTGAATATGCTTAGAGGTGAAGCAGCAATAATAAAGATAATAATGGGTACCATTTATTGGCCATCTACTAACTACTGTGTTTAAATGGTTTACATACATTATTGACTTTAATCCTTAATCCCATAAGGCAGATACTCCATTCCCTTTTTATAGAAAAAGAAACTGGGTCAGAAAAAGGTTAGAAACATGCCTGAAGGCATACAGCCAAAAATAAATAGCGGAGCCAAACTGTCTGGCTTACACCTGCATGCCTAACCATATGCTATACTATCCCAGAGAGAGGATGGAAAAATCATGTTTTCAATCATTACCTTAGATCAACTCTGATGATGACAGAGAAAAATCTAGGGCTCTTAGCCCAAACTTAATGTTGTTACTATTTTTGATTTTGAAGTATTCATGTTTGTTTGTTTTTTTTTTTTTTTAATTTCCAATTACCTGGATGACCTGGAGTTAGCAACAGGGGGACCCTGAACCTCAGAGAACATAGAAGAGGTTTTTTTAGAGTCACGCTGGTCAAGGCCTTAAATGTTAAGCTAAGGAGTTTGGACTTTATCAGCTAGGCATTGTGGAATCAGTGAGTTTCTGTGTAGAGAGGAACCAAGTAAAACATGTCTGAACACAGGACGTGGCCAGTAAGCTTCTGGAGTAAGGGTAACTATAGAGGAAAAGAAGGATAGAATATAAATATGGGGACAACCTCAGGGAATTCATAGATTTTAAAATAAAGAAATGAAAGAAGCCAGTGGAGATTATCCTGACATGGACCTCGAAGAGGGAGGAATTCTAAGATATGCAAAATGGTCAAGAAGAGTGATGACAGAAAAGGTCAGATTTGGCCACTGACAAATAAATCATCAGTGACCATGGAGAGAGCTGGATCAGAAGAGTGCGTGCTTGGGGAAGGGACTGTAGAAAAGAAGGCTGGGGATGGAAAGAGCGTAGAGGCAGCAAGCATGGGATACTTGCGTGAGAAATTTGGGATTGAGAAAAGGGCAGTGCACGGGAATTTGAGGGAACCAATACCAAGGGCTGATGCATGTCTGAAGGTGAAGGCAAAAGAGCCAAGGGAAATGAAAGAAGCCAGGAAAAGGCCAGCTGATAGAACAAGGTGCTTGGATTACCTTACCCAGGAAGAAATGGGATAGAGAACACAGGGAGCTTCCCAGTCTAGGAAAGAAAGATCACTTCCTCTTACACTGGAGGGAAGGAGAACAAGGCTTTAGAGAAGGATAATTAGAGGCCAAGGAGCTGGTTAGATGGAAGAACTCCCACCTGAAGGATTTGAGTCTAGGAAAGCAAAGGACATGGAAGGAATAAAATATAAGTGACATCTAGGCGATGAAACAGCCCAGTTGGGATGATAATACAAATAGCTCAATAAACATTGAGTATTTGCTATGTGCTTGGCACTATGTTAACACTTTAATCCTAATGTAGGAAAACACTAGACAAAGAAGAGATCAAGTTCTGAAGAGTGAAGCTAAAGATTTAGGGGTATGGAGTGGGATAAATAGGAAAATCAATCTGGTGGCAGCATACAGGCTGGGTTTAAGGAGACATACTGGAGGCAGAGATATTAGTTAGAAGGCTGTAGCAATAGCTCAGTGGAGATGGAGGAGATGGACCCTAGGAAGTCAACGTGGTCAGGACATGATGGCTGAGTGGGTGTAAAAGTGAGAAGTTTGGTGGCTTGGATCTCAATCCTAGCCTTGAGGCCCTAGGATTAGAGTCGGAGCCTTGACCATGGCTAGGGGAAGGAATTATGGAAAATGAGTATACTGGATGTCATCCATTTGTCCCACTCAGACCTACTCTTCCGTCCATCTCTACCATGCCCTGTGCCTTGTGAAGCTGATTTGTATGGCCTATACAATGGATTCCCTTGGGCTTTGGTTTCTGTTTGGGTTCCACAAATGGGAAGATACTATGGATTAAACTCATATGTTGAATTCCTAAGCCCCAAATACTCCAGAGTGGAACCTTACTTGGAAATAAGATCACTGCAGATGTAATTAGTGAAGATGAGGTCATTTGGGCGAGGTCATTTGGGTTATTCAATCCAGTGAAACTGGTGTCCTCATAAAATGGGGAAGCTTGAACACAGACACAGGAGGAGAATGCCATGTGAAGATAAAGGCAGAGATGGGGGTGATGCTTCTACAAGCCAAGGAACACCAAGATTGTCAGGGAACCACCAGAAGCTAGCGGAGAGGCATGAACAGACTCTTCCTCTTCCTGGTTAGGAACCAACCCTAATGATGCCTTGAACTTCTAGCCTCCAGTACTGTGAGACAGTACATTTCTGTTGTTTAAACCACCAACTTTGTGGTCCTTTATTACGGCAGTGCTGGCAAACTAATGCAGAGGAGAATAGAGGGTGGAGGGACAGTGAGCCTGAGCCTGACTCCCTCCGTGCCATGTCCTCACAGGTTGGCTCTCTACCAAAGGTCACTCCAGGCAGCCCTCTCTTAGAGTGACTCTCCAGATCTAGTAACCACAATCCCCCTTTACCCCTTGACGTGCCTAGGGGTGGTACCAGCTCCCAGCTGTTGTTAGCCCTGGGGTACTGCACTCTTCCTTGACGGTTTCCCTAAATCCTGCCTTATCTTTATAAATATGCCCTTTATTTAACTCTCATCAAGATTTCCAGTTTGAGTGTGCCATCTATTTCTGCCAAGACCCTGATTAATACAGTGGGTATGTCTGGAGCAAATAAAAACTACCATTTATTTGCAAATTTGAATGAGTCAGGAGAATTCATAACCAGAATGGCCTAAGCACATTTTTAAAAAAGATTTTATTTACTTATCTGAGAGAGAGAGAGAGAGTGCACGCACAAGTAGGGGAGGGCAGAGGGAGAAGGAGAAACAGACTCCTTGCCGAGCAGGGAGCCCAGTGTGGGGCTCAGTGCGGGGCTCCATCCCAGGACCCTGAGATAAGGACTCTGAGATTGGAACCTGAGCCAAAGGCAGATACTTAACTGACTGAGCCACCCAGGCGCCCCTGGCCTAAGCACATTTACTACTGCAAATGAATGGCCTCGAGGATGAGGGCGCTTGGCATGGGGTTAAGGTGGCATTGTCTGGAAAGAGTTCCTTCATTTAGAAAACATTTACTGAAGGTCTACTATCATGCACCAAGCACTGCTCTAGGTGCTGGGGGGCAAAGACAAATAAATCATGGCCCTGGCCCTCAAGGAGCTCACTCACAACCTAGTAGTAGGAGACAGACACATAAATGATTACTTGCATAAGCAGCACAGGTACGGTAGAAGTCAGGGCTGGAGATAAGAAGTTTGCAACTGTCAGCTTACAGGAAAGGCAATGGACTCTTGAGGAACTACAATAATTAAGGGGTGGGAGAGATGCCAGGATAAGAGAACAGGAAGGAATAATTATAATAGTTCAGATATAAACATACGTCCTAGGCATTGTGCTCTACTTACACTAGGTCACTTATCCTCTTCACAACTCTGTGGGGTTCTGGCATTATCCTTGTTTTATAGATGAGAAAATCAAGGCACAAAGACTTTAAGTTATGTTTCCAAGGTCACACAGCTAGCAAGTGGGTAAGAGAGGAATTGAACCCAGCTTTGACTGTTGAGTTTATGCTTTCAACTACTCGTATACTCAGAGCCAGGAGAGATGGTGATACTATGGAGGCCAAGGTAGGAGAGAATTTAAAGGAGAAATGAGTACTCCCCATGACAGATGCTATGGAGGGATCAAATAAATTGAGGATTGACAAGATCCTACTGGACCTTGCAGTCACAAGGTTTGATGTGGACTCTGCCTGAGTAGTTTCCTTAGCAAAGCAGGGGAACGAACTGAAGTCGTCTAAAGAGCAAATGGGAAGTGGGGATGTGGAGACATCTTTTCAAGGAGTTGAGCATTAGGGAGGAGAGAGAAAGCAGGTGAGTGAGAGGAGCTTAGTCAAATGAACCTGGAGTGAGGAGGAGGTCCTGGCTTTATGTCTGCAGCAGTACCAAACGTCGTCAGTGTCGGGGAGCCCAACTATGAGGGCAGACAGAGGGGGATGGCCGTAAGGTCTGAGATGTTTGTGCTGTGGGGTTGGGGGTAGGGAGCTTGGGAAAAGAGGTTGGGCAGGTTTGGATCTGTCCAGGGAATGGGGAGAGAGGGGCCTGCCAGCCGCTCAGAGGTAAGTAGGAATGATTGGCGATGTGGGTGGTGCAGTAGGACCCCGGCTCAGCCATGCGGGGGCACACACCCAGGGGCACGGTCCCCGGGCAAGAAGGGGGCAATCCTCGGTAGTCCATCTGGGTCTGGGAGGAACACAGGGCCACGGAGATCTTCTCTGAGGACTTGGGTAGAATTTCAAGGGGGCTGGGTTCCACTTCCTCAAAGGCATCTGAGATTGCAGCCTTGGGCTGGGACAGTTGGGGGGAAAGAAGTCTGGATTAGAGCAGGTGCAGTGGGGAGGAGGACCTGGACTGTGCGGGAAGGATGGTTAGCTGGGCATAGGGCTCAGGGATGGTAATGCTGGTGGGCAAAGGCCTTGGAAAAGTGTGCACTGGGGCAAGGATCCAACTCCAGGCAGGGCTGTTGCTGGGGAGTGGAGAAGGGGATGTACTCACCGGACTCAGCGATGCTGTATCCCTCAGGTACTGGCCTAGGACCCGGTGCAGGTCTGGAAGTGAGGGCCACAGGGCATGCTTCAGGCTCCTTGGGGAGAAGGCAGAGGAGACTGAGTCACAGGAGTGAATTGGGATGGAGGAGGAGACTACTGAGGGGGTGGGGGGTTGAGGCTGAGGTTAGGGAGTAAGGCTTGGAGAAGTAAGAGTGTAGTCCAAACAATAAGATAAGGTGGAGGGGCGGAGGTGAAAAGGAGGGAAAGGGGAGTCAGGGGAGGGGAGGTTCGTAAAAGGGGTTTGAGTATCCTCAAATATCCCTGCTTCAGACATACTTGCTGTGCTTGCTATTTTCTGTGCCTCTTGATTTGTTCCCTTATCTCATTTAGGTCTCTGCTCAAATGTCATCCTGAGAGAGAAGCCTTCCCTGAGTGCCATGTCTAAAACAGTACCACCTCCCTGCCCCGTCCCTGTTTCCTGCTCTGCTTTATTTTCCTTTATAGCACTTGACTTATTGTATACGCATTATATTATTACACATGTTTGTGTTTGTCTGTCTCACTCCACTAGAATATAAACTCCATGAGAACAAAGAGTTTGTCTGTTTGCTCAGTCCTCTATCTCCAGGGGATAGAACACTGTCTGGCTCATAGTAGGTCCTCAAGAAATTAGTTCAAAGGGTGAATGAAGAGAACCAGAGCGGCTTATTACTAAGTTACTGGGGAAGGTGGTCTCTCTGGGAAGAGTATGGATTAAGGTCCATAGTTGGGGCAACCTGTAATTCTTTAGGTTTGTATTTCCACGTGGAAAGACTTGAGTTGAACAACACTTCAGGCTTCTTTTGTGACCTCCCTCATATCTCTCCAGGGGAGGAGTGATTTATCTGGCAAATTGGGGACAAGGAACTGAGTAGGCCTGGTTCAGTAGCATCACCTTCCTCTTCTCCACCAGCTTTTTTGTTGGCTCTGACTACCTGCAAAGAGGCTACAATCCGGTCTGCTCAGACAGATGAGTTAATTAAAAATGGAAAGAAAGACATGTTCAAGGAGAGATGGGAGCATAAAGGAGGGACATCTAGCCTAGTCTAGGGTCACCAAGAGAGGCTGCCTGGAGGAGTTGCCTTCCGAGATCAGTCTTCAAGAACCAAGAGATGTTACCAACTGAAGGACTGAGGGGGTATGGATTCTATCCTTGTGTTTGTTTGTTTTGTTTTACTTTTCTATCCTCGTGTTTATAACTTCCAGTGACATTTCTCTTCAGCCTTAGTCTTCCCACGTAAACAAGTCATTAATAACATTTATTTAAGGGTGTGCTATTTGGCAGGCACTGTCCTGAGGATTTAAAGATGACCAAGTAAGGTATAGGGAAGGCATATAAAGAAGCAAATACTGTAAAATGCTACTGGTACTGTGACAGAAGTCGGTACTGGGGCACAAAGAAAGTAGCCAATAGGGGAGGGTTTAGGAAAGGTTTCTAGTAGGAGTTGGTGGAGAAAGTTATTTTAAGATAAAGGGCATTAGTCATCCAGGGAGGATATCCCTGGCAGAGAGGACATCATATGCAAAGGCATTGAGAAGTAAAACCACTGGACTTGTGGAGGAAATCACTAACAGTTTGGCAAGGCTGATGATGCACAGGGTAGGAGGGGTGGAAAGGTGGGCCCTGGGCCAGATTTTATAGAGCCTTGCTTGTCATTCCAGAGTCTGGACTCTATCCTGGGAGCTAGTAATGAGACGTCAGGAGGGGAGTGACAAGTTCACGTGTGCGTTTTAGAAAGATTATTTGGGTGGCTGTGTGAGGCTAGACTGGAGTGAGAAGAGGCTCTGTTTCAGCGAGCCTGGTAGTGTTTGTAGGGCTAAGAAAGGGGACCATTGTTTGAGCGAGGTTTTGGGGGTGGAATGAGCAGACCAGGCCAGACTGGATAAAGGGGAGGGAGGCGCCTAGTGTTCTGGTTTGGGTGATGGGTGGACAGCAGCCCTGTTGCTGAGATGAGGAGCCAGGAGGTGCGGTTGTTTGAGGGTCCGGTATAGCGGGCATGTTAGAGTATACGGAAGCGGTGCGACTCTCAGGCGAGACGTGCAGGAAGTGGCTGAAGCCAAAGGTGTGGCCTTGCGGTCCTCGGTCCTCGGGAGAGCGGGTGTCATTGGGTAACCCTGGGGTGCTTGTTTAGAGGCCTCCGGCCCCACCCGTCTCCTGAGTGACCAGGGCGGTACCTGTAGTGCGCAGGAAACTGCCACCTCAGCAGCAGCAGGCCCAGGAGGGCACTGAGGCCCAGCACCACGAGCAGAGCGGTCACCAAGGAGATCCAGGCTAAGGGACAAAACCAGTCAGACCTCTGCCGCCCTCGGCCGGAGCCCCGCCCCCAGGCCCACCAGACCCCGCCCCTCACCGCCCGCCCCTCGCTGCGCCGGCGCCCCTCCACTCGCGCAGCCGCACAGCGCCTCGCCCCCGCCCGCCGGGCCCTCACCGATCTCGGAGGTGGTCTCCACGCGCACTGGGTCGGACCAGGCACTCCAGGGGCCTTGGTAGGTGGGGCCGTGGAGCCTGGCGCGCAGCTGTAAGCGGTAGCGAGAGCGCGGGCGCAGCTCCAAGGTCTCTCCCTGGGCCCCGAGAGGCGGCTCCAGCACCTGCGCAGAGGGGGAGTGAGCGGGTGGGCAGGCTCCGGGTGGCGGTGCCTCGGCGTCGGGGCCTCGACAGCCTGGCATCCTTTTGGCCAAAGGCCTACCGCTTTGAATCTCCGGGGTCCCCCTCCCCCCACCAAAGAGCCTCCCTGACAGAATACATGCATCCCGGCGAAAACTTGCAAGGTAGAGCGCCCCGACAGAGAGGCGTGCCTAACCTTAGGGAAACACACCCCGCCACACACACGCTGGCACACAGACCTCACCTGCACAGAGAACTAACTACTCATCCTGACACAAATGCAAACACACACTGACCAGGTCACGCGGACATCCCGCCAGAAGTGCTCCTCAGGATCCAGGTCAGGCGACGGAAGCCCCGGGCACATTCAGATACTCAGGGCCACATAGACTGTTCATAAGTAACATGCATCCAGCAGTGGACGCTAGGTGCTGAGGGTACGAGGACAGATTCCGAGCAGAGGGAACAAGCATCGTGTGGACAAGCAGGGAGACTAGCTAGACAACATGTAGCAAACATTTATGAACTGCCGGTGATATGCCAAGCACTGGGGAAAGGATAATGAAACATGGTTTCTTGCAAGTCTAATGAGGATCACGTGCAAACCAGTAAATAATTACAAGTAATTAGTGCTATAATGATGATATAAGTAAGGCAGAATGCGTGCATGAGGAAGCATATCATGCTGCCTGAGCTACTTGGTTGGGGGTTACAGAGTAGTTCAGTGTGCTAAGAGCATGGAGCATGGACGGGCAGGCAGGGTGGTCAAAGATGAGCTAAGGCAGTGGTAATAGGGATTTGCAGACTGTTAGTACAATAAACTCAACTTCTGTGTTGATGAATGGAGGGAAGGGACAAGGGAAAAGGAGGAAGAGTCAAGGGTGATTCCAGGCTTGGATAACTGGTAAGTGGTAGAGCCACTGTCAGATAGCAACCAGAGAAGTAAGTTTGAGGATGAAATACCATATGGTTCCATTTTATTAGGTTCAACAACAGTCAAACCTTATCAATGATAATGTCTGAACAGTGGTTATCTTGGGGTATGCGTGACTGTAAGGGGCATAAGGAGCTTCTGAGGTGCTAGAAATAACATATCTTGATTTGGGTAATGGTTAAATAGGTGAATACGTGTACAAATTGACCAACTGTACATATTTTCTAAAGATTTTATTTATTTATTTGACAGAGAGAGACACAGCGAGAGAGGGAACACAAGCAGGGGGAGTGGGAGAGGGAGAAGCAGGCTTCCCGAGGAGCAGGGAGCCCGATGCGGGGCTCGATCCCAGGACCCTGGGACCATGACCTGAGCCGAAGGCAGACGCTTAACGACTGAGCCACCCAGGCGCCCCATTGATCAACTGTATATTTAAGATCTATGTATTTTGCTGAATGTAACATACCCCGATAAAAAGGTAAAATAATCTTGGGGAGGAGGATGACTTTAGTTTTGGATATATTGGGTCTGAAATGCCCCAGGGGGCTTTGATGCGGAGCTGTCTGGGAAGAAGTTGTATATACATGTGGTTAATGAGAATAAAAGTAGAGAAAGTAATGTTTAATGCATATTGAGTACCTTCTATCTGCCAGGCAGTATGCTAGATATTTATATATTTAATTTTTACCACAACTCTGGAAGATAGATAGTTGTATCTCCATTTGACAAAACTGAGACTTCCCAAGTTTAGGTAATTTACCTAGGGCATAGAAGTTCCTTTCCATATGGGTGTTGGAATGGTAAGATTGGGTGGGTTAATGCATAGTCATTAGACTATAAGCACTTACCTAGGATGAGCATGTATATTTATCGAGAAGAGAAAAGAGTCTAGAATGGGACTATAGGAAGCACAACATATTAAGGAAGGGTGGAAAGGGAGGAGCCAGGAAAGAGGGAGAAGGTTCAGCCAGAGAAGTAGTATGAGAATCAGGAGACTGATATCCCAAAGGCAAAGGAAAGAGAAAATTTTAAATGGGAGTAGTCAATAGTGTCAAATGCCCAAGAAAGATTAAGATACCAGTTGAATCAGATCAACATAGATATACAAACCCAGACCCAGATACATGGATACCTTCACTCTTGATAACAGACCCGATGAATCTCAGGAATACCCTGTGTAGTGAGATCTGTGGACATGTTTTCCTCGATCGTACCTTCCAGTCTTGATGGCCTTCTCCTGTGTATCGGAGCTGATAGCAGGTCTCTTGGGCTCCCCAGGATGATGGGTGTTGCCATTCCAATTCCAGCTGCCCACTGGAGACCTCCCTCCAGTGCAAGTTTGGAGTGGGGATGAGCACTACAGGGAGCCAGCAGGGACTGGCCTAAGCCCTTCTGTGCGTGAGACATCATGCCACTAGGGCCATGGGTCAGAAGTGCCAGGGCTGGTGATCCTGGGCGTGGGGTCAGGAGCGGTAGGGGCAGAAAGTACGTGGGAGGAGAAGGGAAGAAAATTCTTACCAGCCTGGTGGATCCAGAAAGGGGAGCCCAGGTAGCTGTGAACAGCACCCTGGGCTGTGGTCACCTCCACAAGGATGTGAATAACACTGTCATTTCGTGACTTGAAGTGGCAGCGGGAGAACTGGGAGGGCTGTAATCCTGGATATTTCTCCTCTTCACACTTCTCCCAGATGGGGTCCCTAAGAATCATCCCCGTAGTCACTGAATCAGGCCTGCCTCCGAGACTAATCCTGATAATTCCCATCCCAAAGGGGATATGGCCTGTGGGGATTATAATCCAACTCCTCCCTTGGATGGGCTTCCAAGGCTTTCTCTCTGTCTTCCTGCCATGATGTTTTGTTTTCTGAGGCTGACTTTGGTGTCCAGCCTCTTCCTCTTAAGGAAAGAGCTAGATGATTCATGAACACAGCCTGGGCTCTACAGCTCAGGTCTTAGCTTGGTCTGCAACTCTGGTACATGATTGATCTCTGCTCCCATTTCCTTATCTGCAAAATGGGTTAAAAATCCTTACTTCACAGGATTGTTTCAAAGAGCCTTCATCTTTATGGTGGAAAGATCCTCATGTTTTTAATCTCATACAGCAGGCCTGTTAGTCACCGCTCTGTGTTGTTCTACTATTAGATGATTACAATAGCCTTCCAATAGGCTTTTTTGCCTTCATTTTCACCACTCCCTTGTGGAGTTTGTTCTCCACATGGCCACCAGAATTTGCTTCCAAAATTTTGAACTGATAATGCCCAGAAGAGATCACAAATCTGTCCATTTGTTTGAATCTTTCCCAAGGCCACATTCAATGAGCCACCTCTGTCTCCGGCCTGGATTAAGGCAAACTTCTAACTGGTGACTTTGCTTCCACCTTTACTTCATCATTTCACAGAGAATAATACCTTTTTGAAAGGAAAGTCACATCATGTCACTCTTCCACTTGAAATCCTTCAGTGGTTCCCTGTCCCCCCTTGAATGAAATCCAAACTCCATGCCAGGGCCCACAGGACTTGATATGGTTCAGTTCCTCCCTACCTGGCCATTCTCATCTCCTACAATTCTTACACCAGTCTGCCACCCTTCATTCACACGAGCCTTCTTGCTGCGCTACAAATATGTCCCAATCATTGCCTTTGCACTACACCTTGCCCTCGATTGCTCTGACTCTAGAGCTCCATGTGACTCATTCTTTTTTTGCCATTTAGGCCTCCTGGGGAGGCCTTCTCTGACCATACAATCTAAATGAACATCCATCCCCCATCCTCCCACTTAGTCTCTATCATATAACCTGTTCTTTGGTCTCTTTACTTCTTTGTCACCCTTCCTTTCCCCCCCAACTAAAATGGAAACCCCAACAATGTGGAAATGTTTCTCTTTTATTTGTCACTCTAGCCCCAATGCCTGGCACATAGTCACCCTCAATAATTGTTTATTGAACAAATGAATCATGTCTCCTTCCTGATTGTCATTCCTAAATGGCTAGCCCTTACTAAAATTATTTATTAATGTATTTATGTGTTTACTTCTTTATTCAACAAATAATTAACACGATGTGCCAGGCACCATGCCAAGCACTATGAATACATAGAGGAATAATCAAGGAGCTCTCATTCCAGTGGGAGAGGCGGAAAAACAGACAGATGGTATTTTTCTGTGGTGTGGACTGGCTGGTTTGGGGGGTATCAAGGAGGATAATCTAACCCAGATGGGGAGGGTCAGAGAATACTTCCTGGATAAGGCAGTGCTTAGACTGAGTCTTGGACTATAAATAGGATAGGCAAAGGCGACAAACAGGCATCCCAGGCACATGCTTGTGCACAGATAAGAGATATGGTGCTTTGGGGGAAATTCTAAGTGATACAGAATTCTCTTAGCTTAGAGGGCCTGGTGATGAGTGGTAAATGGGAGAGGGCAGACTAAGATCATGGATGGTCTTATGGCCTTTCTGAGGAGCTTGAACTTAATCTTGTAGTAATCATGGAGAAGTGTAAGGATTTTAAACAGAAACTTGTCATAATTAGCATTGTACTTTGGGAAGATCACTGTAACTGCAATTTGTAGGAAAGAATTTGTGAGGACAGACTTGAAGTGGGGAAATCCAATAGGACACTTTTATGGATGAAGGACCAGAAACAGGGTGGCGGCAAAGGAGGTGGGGGAAAAGAGATGGATTCAAGGGATACTGAAGAGGTAGAGATGATTAGACTGTTTCTGATTGGACCTGGAGGGTGGGGAAAAGGCAGAAGTCCATGGAAATCACCATGTCAGGCCTGGAAAATTGAGTTGATGGTAGGATGGGGGACAATAGGAGGAGGAGCAGGTTTTGGTAGATGAAATGATGAGCGTCAGTTCTGCTTCCCTTTAAACCATTCATGGCACTTGTAGACTATGGAAATCTGTGCAGTTATTAAAAATAATCAGTTACATCTTTTCGTAATGGGCTCCAAGACACATTTTTAAGTAAAAAAAGTAAGTTGGCAAACTATATATATGATATGATCCAATTCATAGTGAAAATGAAATGTTGTGTATAGACACGTATAAGTACATAGAAAAACTGGAAAAGAACATTAAAACTGTTAATGGTGTTTTTTTCATTATTCATTAATTTAGCAATTTTTTTTACTGAGTAAATGCTAAGTTCCAGGCACTGTGGTAGGTGAGAATACCTTAGTGAGTAAAAGCAGACGTTGCTTTTGTCCTTAGGGATCATGTATAGTCAAGATCAGCCCCTCTCAACTGGAGTTCTGAGACAGGATGATATTATCAGTCAAATAACCACATAAAGTATAAATGTAAAATTGTAACTGTGATAAGTACTTAAGAAGGAGAGGTAAATGGTACAGTAAGCATGTATAATAGTGCTATTGGACCTGATGAGGAAGATCAGGGGAGGTTTCCCTGAGGAGGTGACATTTGAGTTGAGATCTGAAGGATAAGTAGAAGTTAAGACAGGAGGGCTGGGTAGACAGCATGCACAAAGGCATGGTGAGAATGCCTCTCCAGAGGCAGGAGAGAATATGGCAGATAGAAGGGGACCAAAGAGTCATAGAGGGGAAAAGGCAGCGTAGTGTTAGATGAAGCTGAAGGCATTCAGGGGCTGAGTCTGTTAGTACTCTATAAGGCCACAACAGGGTTCTTCTTCTTTTTTTAATCCCAAGATCAGTAGGAAGCTATTGAAGATTTTTAAGCAGAGAGTGTTATGAGAATGATTTGGAGGATTTAAGAGGTGATTGGTTAATAAGTCTCCTCAGTAGCCCAAGTGAGACATCATGATGGCTCATACTAGGGGAATGGCAGTGATGAAAAAATGTGGACAGATTCTAGAGATATTTAATAGGTAAAATCAACAAGACTTGGTAACTTTCTTACACCATACACAAAAATAAATTCGAAATGTTTGAAAGACCTAAATGTGAGACAGGAAACCATCAAAATCCTAGAGGAGAACACAGGCAGCAACCTCTTTGACCTAGCTAGGCTGCAGCAACTTCTTACTAGACACATCGCCGGAGGCAAGGGAAACAAAAGCAAAAACAAACTATTGGGACTTCATCAAGATAAAGAGCTTCTGCACAGCAAAGGAAACAGTCAACAAAACTAAAAGGCAACCTTCAGAATGGGAGAAGATATTTGCAAATGTCTTATCAGATAAAGGGTTAGTATCCAAAATCTACAAAAAACTTATCAAACTCAACACCCCAAAAACAAATAAGCCAGTCAAGAAATGGGCAGAAGACATGAACAGACACTTCTCCAAAGAAGACATACGAATGGCTAACAGGCGCATGAAAAGATGCTCAACATCACTCATCATCAGGGAAATACAAATCAAACCACACTGAGATACCACCTTACACCTGTCAGAATTAACAACACAAGAAACAACAGGTGTTGGCGAAGATGCAGAGAAAGGGGAACCCTCTTGCACTGTTGGTGGGAATGCAAACTGGTGCAGCCACTCTGAAAAACAGTATGGAGGTTCCTCAAAAAGTTAAAAATAGAACTACCCTACAACCCAGCAATTGCACTAGTAGGTATTTGCCCAAAGGATGCAAAAATACAGATTCGAAGGGGTACATGCAACCCAATGTTCATAGCAGCAGCAGCAGCATCAACAATAGCCAAACTATGGAAAGAGCCTAAATGTCCATTGACTGATGAATGGATAAAGAAGATGTGGTGTGTGTGTGTGTATATGCCATATATATATGTGGAATATTACTCAGCCACCAAATAGAATGGAATCTTGCCATTTGCAACAATGGAGCTACAGTGTATTATGCTAAGCAAAATAAGTCAGTCAAAGACAAATACCATATGGTTTCACTCATATGTAGAATTTAAGAAACAAAACAGACGAACATATGGGAAGGAAAAAAAAGAGAGGGAAGCAAACCTTAATAGACTCTTAATGATAGAGAACAAACTGAGGATTGATAGAGGGAGGTGGGCAGGGGATGGGCTAGATGGGTGATGGGGATTATGATGAGAGCATCTTATGGGGATGAGGGCATGGAGGCCAGTTGGTTTTGGGACAAGGGAGGGAAGTGAAGAGGATCAAGAACAATCTCTCCCTTTCTGCATGATCATGCCTCTCTCCCACGACATCAAGCTCAATCAGCAGTTCAGCTCTCACCTGTCTCTGGGACAGCACCGTGCCCTGCTGTGGTAGAAGAAGCCTTGGGAGCTAGCATGGTCCTGTTGCTGCCACTGACAGGTAACATTCTTCAGGTTCAAGGTAAAGCACTGCAGTCCAATTTCCACTGAATTAACAGAAGGAAGTCCCATCAGGGCCAACACATTCCCACTCTATAGGGTATCCAGATTATCTTTACACACATAACTTGGAATATTTACCCCCATTCCTTGTTCTCTCCCTGAATATAGTTCACTCTGTCTGTCCAGTGGCAAGTCTGAGGTTATCAGGAAGGACCATGGTTCTCAGAGCTGCCATATCCAGTCCAGACCTCTCTAGAGATCTTTTCTATCTCCTCCCCATCTTCCCACTCTTTTGTTGACTCACCTGCATCTCCAGGCAGGTCCACGGTTGCAGGGAGGGACCAGGATCCCCAGGAGCCAAGGAGGGAGACCCCATCGGGTTGACTGCGCAGCTGGAGCCAATAGGATTTACCAGGCTGGAGCCCTGAGATGAGGCAGCTTCCACTCCTCACTGTTAGAGATGAAGCCTTGGGAGAAGAAGCCCAGCCTCAGAATCTAGGTCTGCCTCAACCAAGACAGCTTCCATCTCTTATATTTGAAGATGGAACTGAAATGCCCATTTCCTCACTGGATAGATATGCACACAGACTAGGGGCCAGGTCGGTGGGTTTCAGGTGGTATTCAGAGCTTTTTAGGGAAATCCCTACTAATTCAAAGGCCTGAAATGCTCAATTTTGTTGGTGTGAATGACCCAAAGTGGGAGATTCCTAAATAGACATGGCTCCCAAGCCCATACTAACTTCCCAAGGACCAATGCAGTCTGGAATCCCCAAATTATGGCCTATCCTTTCTTGGGGCAAAATCTGGGGTAGGAGATAGGGGATGGGGCAGAAGAAAGCCAGGATACTTCTCTAGTTGGGGAAGTCTGCTCTGGTCCATCCTGTAGGGGCATCATGGGCTGAGCACATGGAGGCTGGTGCAGAGCTGGGACTGGGTTTAGTCTCTGCAGAACTGGACAGCAGGTTTCTGTGGGCAGCAGCTGCATGACTGTGGGACCAATGGAGTTGCTGGGATCCTTGGGGCCGTAGCGAAGTTCATGCCTCAGGAAATCACTGATTTCGGGAGCTGGGGTCTCCCAGCTGATCTGCAGTTCCCCTGGCTGGCTCCCACCTGAAGCCTTAATGATATCTGGGGGAGCTGGTAAGCCTGGGGGCAAGACAGGGTACACAGAACTCTCTTGAGTGCCACAGTCTATGGCTCAACCCATGGACTGTATAGAGGGGAGTTTGAAGCTGGGTTGGGGGCAGCCCCTGGATTCTAGAAGATCACAGGCCATTGCTTTCTTGGAGGCCAAGGCAAGAAGGTTCCTTATCCTGTTCTCCTTTCCTCATTAGAACAGTGACCTCACTGTGGGTTTGTTAGACTCAGTGCTCACAAGAGCAGGGATCTCTTCCTCTCTATAGCCTTGTCACCTAGCACAGTGCCTGGCACATGGTAGGTATTCTGTAACTGTGGAATGAGTCAGTGAATAGGTTCATGATGGGGCAAGGGCACAGGTTGTCTCTGGTGTGAAATGAAATCTAGCTCTGGATGTGAAGAATGATGAGGGGGTCTTGAGGTGCCTCTGGCGGTCTGGTCATGAAGGCATCCACGTTGCCCTAAAGGAGCACAGACCAGTCTGATCCCAGGGGCTGGACTGAGGGCAGCAAAGAGAGGGGCCAGGGTGACAGGAGGATGGCCCTTACCCACACTATCCACAAAGAGCACCCTCTGGGTCAGAGTCTGATTCAGAAACATGTTCTTCACCCAGAGGTGCAGTGGAAAGAAGAGGCGAACTTCATCCTGGGCTGGAAACTGACACACATATCGGGTCCCAAAGGGGGGCACGCTCTTGTAACTCAGGGGGCAGGCACGGGGCTTCTCCCTGTGGGCGTAGGAGAAGTCTGTTCCACCTACGTGGCCACCACGACAGGCTCTGAGGACCCAGTTCTGGGCCCAAGCCCAACTTCTATTTCCATTCCTGCCATTTTTCTACTCAGTACCTGGGACAGGTGGGGTTAGGGGTTGTGTATGGGCTGGCACTGGGGATATCCAAAGCACATCTGTTCATTAAGTGGCTACTGAGGGCATGTACTTGGAGTAGTCCTCTGATAGGGCCCAAAGGCAGGGAAGCTCCAGGAGCTGGGCTCAGCTGAGGTAAGGACAGGACAGATACAGGGGAGCGTGGCACAGCCCAGCACATACCCTGGGTACGCATACAGCAGCTGGTATGTTCCATTGGGTGCTGCCTCTTCCTCATCCCAGAAGCAAGTGAGGTCCTCAAATGTTCGAGAGAAACAGTTCAGGGGCTCTGAATCCAAGGCCAGAAAGGAGGCATCTGAGGAACAGCTGGCGAGTTGAGCTCTGGGTGCTCCCAGGCATGTTTATAGGCAAGAGTAAGGGGCTGGTGGGAGCCTCCTACCTTGCACCCCTCCCAGGGCTCCCTCTTCCTGGGTATAGGTGATCTCCACCCTCCACACACCTCACCTTGGCTGGTGACTTGTGCCAGGTTTTGGGGGGCCAGGAGGAGGCAGGAGGTGACCACCAAGAGGGCCCACGATGGCATTTTCTCCGGCACTGTGTGCCTGGCTTAGCCCATCCTCCCCTCAGGAAGCCGGGCCCCAATCCCCTCCCAGGCCAGCCCCTCAGGTTCCTGTCAGATACAGCCCCACGTCCTGTCCCTGTCCCTGCCCCTGTGGGGCCCATCCAGACCACACTGGGGCCAGGGGCCAGGGGAGGGGGAGTAGGAGTGGGCAGGAGGGTAAGAGGAATTTGAAAGGGAAGATATAGGCCTTTTGGTGGGAGGGAGATGGGGGTTACATTTTTGATCGTGAACCAGGAGACTGAGCCTATGTCAACTATTATAGAAGGGTGTATTATCAACAAGAATAGCAACATTTACTGAGCACTTACTAAGGACTTTATATCTATTGACTCAGCTCATCCTCACAATAGTATTATTTCCACTATGGAGATGAGGAAACTGAGATGCAGAGAAGTTAAAAGATTTACCTAAGATCACAGACCTACTGAGAAGTAAAGCTCAGGAGGTCAAGCTTCAGAGAGCCCAAGGGCTGAACAGCTATGCCATGCTACCGGAAGGCGTAATCCATCGAGAAATGACTGCTTCACAACCATAACAAAATGGTCGCTATTTCCACTTTAATGGGTTCTGTACCTTTGTGCACAAACACATTCTCCCTAGAACTGGATGTGAACCCTCCCTGGTGGGGAGCCTCCAGAGCTGCCTCTTGTCCTTTGCTACTCAAAGTGTGGCCTGTAGACCAGCAGCAAGAGCATCACCTGGGTGCTTGTTAGAAATGCAGAATCTGGGGCGCCTGGGTGGCTCAGTCATTAAGCGTCTGCCTTCAGCTCAGGTCATGATCTCGGGGTCCTGGGATCGAGCCCTGCATTGGGCTCTCTGTTCAGTGAGGAGCCTGCTTTTCTCTCTCCCCCTCACTCTGCCTACTTGTGCTCTCTCTCTCTCTGTCAAATAAACAAATAAACAAAATCTTAAAAAAAAAAAAAAGCAGAATCTTAGGCCCCGCCCCAGACCTACTAAAACAGAATCTGCACTTGACCAAATCCCCAGATGACTTGAATACACATTTCAGTTTGAGAAGCACTGGTCTCAGAAGATGTGCTCATCTTCTTCACATTAGTAGCAAAAGAGTAGGTATGATGCTTGTGTGAAGCCCAGGCTGCCTCCTGGGAGTGCTGTAACTATGGGTGGCTTTTATGCCACCTCTCAGAAGCTCTGACTCTTGCTGGGATAGGGGGACCGCATGCCACATGAACTCCTACATTGAGCCCCTCCAGCCTCAGCTGGGGCTACCATTGCTGGCGCTATAGGCTAAGTGGCCTCAATATCAACCTTTTCTCCTCCTCCTGAATTAGTGTTACTTACAGACAGATTTGGGGGAAGTGGGTAGGCAGGGAGTAAATGGAAATCCTTCAGCCTTCCCGTGAGGTCTTAATTTCTCTGACACCATTTCTCTGCAAGAAGTCCCTGAGGCCAGGCTTGTCCTGATTCCTGTCCAGCTCTCGGGTTACAAGGACCAGCTTCCTCTGTCCAATGGGGATGACTTTGGATGCCTCCCCCAGCCCCCAATCAAGGGCCACCCAACCTCCAGGTCAAGTGAGAGAGGAAACACATCTCTAATGTTCACACACTCCCGATGCTTTGATATGTGGATGCATCTGTATATGTGGATGACTTCAAAATTAGTCTCTCCAGCTGTGGCTTTCCTGGGCTCCAGATTTGGATCGCCACCTGCCTGCTTGGCATCTCCACTTGCACGTCTAATGGGCATCTTATGCTTAAGATAGCCAAAATAAAACTCTTGATTCTGGTTCCCACCCCAAAGCCTGTGATTTTGTTTCTTTTTCCTCTTGTCTTACCCAGCTCTGTAAATGGTACCACCATCTACTCAAGTGATCACACCCGAAACCTCAGTCCTCCTTGATTCCTATCTTTCTCTTACCCTACATTCAATTCACTAGTAAGTCCTCTTCGATATTCTTTCAAAATGTACCCTGAATGTGAACACTTTTTACCACCTCCCGCCATCCTGGTCGAAGTCTGGGCTACTGCAGTAGGTTCCTATCTGCCTTCACTGTCCGGGGTAGCCGGCCCTCCAGTCCTCCACAGGACAGAGGGAGCTGTTTAAAATGCAAATCAGACTTCTTTGCTCCCCTGCTTAAAACCCGCTAATGATTGGGCGCCTAGGTGGCTCAGATGGTTAAGCGTCTGCCTTCAGCTCAGGTCATGATCCCGGAGTCCTGGGATCGGGTCCCGCATCGGGTCCCGCATCGGGCTCCCTGCTCCTTGGGAGCCTGCTTCTCCCTCTGCGTCTCTCTCTCTCTCTCATGAATAAATAAATAAAATCTTTAAAAAAAAAAACCCGCTAATGATTTCCTACTGCACTTAGAATAACATCCAAATACCTTCTCAAGGCATACAAGGTCCTGCCTGGGGATACAAGGTCCTGCGTGATGTGGCCCCTGCTTATTTAAATCTCGTCTCCTACCGCCGTCTTCACTCTCAACCAGCCACGATAACCTCATTGTGTCTCTCACCTCAATCCTTATCACGCTCAACCTTTTTGCAACATTTGATATTCTCCTCCTTCCTTGGCTTCTACAAAAGTATCACATTCTCCTGGTTTCCTCCTACCCTCTGGAACATTCCCTCCCAGTTTCTTTCTTTCTTTACTCTTTCTCTTAAATGTTGCTGTTCCCCAGGTGTCCTTGCTTTGCCCTTTATCACCTCTCACCCCGGAGTGATCTCATGGCTTCAGTTCCATCTATATTTGAGAGAGAATGAGAGAGAGAGAGAGCACATGAGAGGGGATAGGGTCAGAGGGAGAAGCAGGCTCCCTGCCGAGCAGGGAGCCCAATGCGGGACTCGATCCTGGGACTCCAGGATCATGACCTGAGCCAAAGGCAGTCGCTTAACCAACTGAGCCACCCAGGCGCCCTTCAGTTCCATCTATAGACCAGTAACTCCCAAGACTATATCACTCTCTTGAACTTCAAATTCTTAGTTACTTATTGGATGTCTATATTTGTTGTTCCATAGGCACTTCACCTAAATGCACCAAGTCCCAAATGCAACTATCACTAACTCCCATACATCCTTTCCGATTTTTCTCTTCCTATGTTCTGCATCCTGCCCTTGGTTCCTGGGCATCTAAGCCTGGAAGCTGAAACTTTCCCTCAAATCTTCATTCTCCCTGCACTCCTGCATCCAAGCCTTACCAAGTCTGTGACTTCTACAGGGAGACAGTGTAATAGTGGTAAAGGATGCAGAACCGGCAAGACAAGGGGCTTTGTCTGTCGAGAGTTGAGATGGGGGCTCTGCGAGCCTTCATGAAAGGAGGTCCAGCTACCTGTCCCTGTCATTTCCCCATTTTTCTCTGTTTCCGCACAGCTGGGAAGAGGTGCCTTCCCCAGTCCTTTGCTTCTTTAGAATATCAAGGGGAGCTAGAAGAAGCCTAGGGGAAAGGAGACCACTTAGGTACACCCATTCATTGGCCAAAGAGTCCAGTAGTCTCCTCAAGGTCCAGCCCAGGTCAGCAGGCCTAGGCTTTTCTGTTGGGCTATAAGGCCGAAGCCCCAGCTTAGAAAAGCCTGTATTTGATCTCTGTGCAACCGTTGCTCAGAGAATTTAAGGGGTTGCTGGATGAGGCTTGGCTCAGGCAGTAAGTCTATTGTTAAACTACTCTCTGGGGGCAACAGGGAGCCCTGTTTTGTAGCATTTGCCGCTTTTTTTGTGCAAATATGCCACCACGGCCAATTTCAAGCTGCTAAGATGATGTCGCTCAATAGTGAGTTGGGAAGAGAATTGGCTCTCGTCAGCCCATGCCTGTCTCCTCATTTCCCCAGATTTCCAACACCAGTCAGACAGTCGGAGATAGGTAACTCTAGGCCCCTGGATTCTCCATCTTCCCATCACTTACTTCCCCAGCATTGCCAAACTCCTCTCCAAAAGGATTGTTCCACTTGTTTGATTGTTCTAGCAGGGTGTCAGAGTGCTGTCTTTTCCCCACACCTATGTCACTGTTGTTTTAAGTTTGCTATTCTGATAGTTGACGAATGGTCCAAGCTCCTCACTCAGTGCTTTTTCCAAAGCTCAAATTTGCTTTTATCCTTTCCCTGCTTAAAATCCTTTCATGGCTCCACAGGATCCTTTGGACCAAGACTCATCTCTGGACGCTGGAACACAAGGCCCTTATGCCTTTCATCTTCCCCTTCCTGGAATCTCTTTCCCAAGATGCTCCCTTCACTATTCCCCAAACCCAATCCCCTTTCTGCCACAGGGCTTTGGTCCCTTGCTTCCCCAGCACAGGACCCTCCAATCTCTCAGCCTGTTGGAACTTTCTTTGTGATTCAAGACCTGACTCCAACTTTTCTTATCCCCCAACTCTATGAAACAGAGCAGAGCATTCCTTCCAGAGGCCTTGTAGCTCTTTTGTGATTATGACCAACTTGGTGAGCCTTTGGGCATGGCCTTGGTAAGAAGGGGTGAGAGAGCCAAATTTGCTGAGTATGAAATTGGTGGGGATTTGAGAGTATACTGCGGTAACTCCAGAGAAAGGGCTAGTAAGTGAAAGACTGCAACCTGAGGAGAAGGAGGTCTCACGAGTGAGAAATTCCAGTAGGACTGTCGGAGGAAAGTTTCAGCACAGTGAAGCCTAATGCCCAGTCTGAAGGGTACTAGCTACTCTGAATGCTCAGCTGCCCCAGAACCACCCCCCCACCCCACCATTCAGTGAGCGTGTCCTCGACACATAACCTTCATTCGTGGTGTTTTCGGAACAAAGGGAGAAGAGTAATGAAGAGTGGAGAGAGGATGGCAGCCACAGGATTCAGGTTGTGGGATGACCCCGAGGGTGTGAACACCATGGGAGGGAGAGTCCAGTAGGAACAGAGGAGGGTGTGAACTTCCCGAGGATGTAGAATAGGGACTGAGCTGTTCTGATGGGATATAAATGGAAAAGGTGGTCCCAAAGGGCTGCCCTGAGGACATTTGGGTTGCGTGCACAGAATCTTTCCTTCCTCTCA